GAATACATTGAAATACGTCATATTGAAATTATTTCCAGACAATCACTTCTCGTCTGTGTCATAGGTGCTCTTAAATATGTTTCACTCCTAACTGCTGACACAAAAACCTTTAACCAACTTTAAGAGAATTTGAAGAAAATAAACTAAAAATAAAGTATTTTGAATAAGTGTAAAGTTGTTTATTTTTGAGACATATATATTTACAAATAAAATCCTATTAATAAAACTACAAACAGTAGTTGTTTTAATTTAGAAATAAAAGTGGATAGTGCCATTTAGGAATATAGCGGAGCGTATTTTTTCTTCAGGCTGATATTAAACAGTATCTATATGCTTTCGACTGCGCCAAGTACGAACCTGGGCATTGTTTGTGATAATCAAGCATTTTGCGTGATTTTACTAAGTTTAAATTTATTTAGGTATATATTTCATTTAATATGTGTTTTCATTTTTTAGTCCAGCGGAGCTCCAGTTTTATACTAGCATCGCTAGTATAATTGTACAGATACCAACCACTTTAATTATGGTTGATTTTAGCGATGAGAAGATTGGTACTAAACTAGTGATATCGTTCATATTGAATGGGATATTTTTCCATTTCCAAAGTATATCAGCGTATGTACTGATGGATTACATCGGGCCCGTCACTCATAGGTAAGTATGTTAGTTTTTGACTTATTATCAAACAATATCAAGCAGTTGGACTTCGTTAGTCCTAGGTTAAAATGTAACAAATACGGCCTAAAACTAAATTGCAGAAGACAATGATCATTAGTAAGGACACCAACATAAACGCCCACATTACGATAGGCGATACACTGTTAGAAAGGGTGGAAAAATATTCCATTTAGGCTGCAATATTAAGGATACTTGGGATGAGAGCTACGAAATAAAAACTCGCATTGAAAAAGTCTTTCAACATCCTTAGGAAGATTCTCTGCAACTTATGTTTAAGTAACGACATAAAAATGATAATGAAAGAACTATAAATATAATTATTATTGCAGATGTATTGAAAACCAGATCTGTAAGCTGAGGGGTATTGTTTTTGATCCGTAAAATCCTTCTCGTACAATCGGGTTCAGATGTAGGTATTTCGATGATTATGACATATTTTTCATTAACATGAATATTTTCCTTAGTAGTGGAATCCTCAAGAACAAAAGATTCAGACATTTGATGTGGTTGAATATTGATTTCAGACGTAGAGTTTTTAGCGACTCCTGGTTGTACGTTAAACGCTTCTAGTTCCGTAGTTACTGCAGCTGTAGTAGGTCTTCTCGTTCTGTGACAAAAGTGGCCATGACATCAACGTCAGTAAATATGTCATTATTAAAGGGACATATCCCCGTCACTTTAAAACCTTCAATTGCATTCGTTAGAGTAGCAGCTTTAAAGTAAAACATTGAAGCAATTTGATAAACCGTAATTACTCTCCCTGGATGGTTCGTCAGCCACTTTTTACCCTCGTTGGAATAAAATGTTTTTAGAGAGCTAAAAAATATCTTTCAAGAGGCTGCTTACGGTGACTACTATGAGGAGGAAGTGTTAATGCGATAATCTTATATTGTCGAGAAAAATCAATTGCTGCAATGGAACAATGGGAAGTGTGATTATCCATTATCAATAGGACTGGTTGTTCCTTTGTCGGCTTAGCATGATTTTTAAAATGTGTAGCATAATCAACAAACAGGTCCTGATTGATGAAACTCCATCAAATGTCAAATACCATTCCAACTGATGATGGTGGAGCTCCATCCAAAAGCTCTGTCTTCATTCTTTTACGTGGATTTATAAATGCGGGAGGAATTTATTGTCCACTAGCACTCATTGTACATACAACAGTAACATTGGTTCTCTGTTCTGCGCTAGATATTTTATTGACACACCTTATATTAGTTGTAATGTATTATATATATATATATATATATATATATATATATTATATATATATATATATATCGGTTTTAAAACGTCCTACGTCTTCCGATGCCTAGTCTCCATTCACTTCGGTCCATCCAAAGGTCTTCATCTAATTCTCTTTCTCTCATACTTCGATTTATGCCTTCTCTCCAACTAAGGCGGGGTCTTCCTCTTTTTCGTCTCCATGAGGGGTCCACGTTAGATTTGTTTCGGGAGTCGTTCTTCGGACATTCTTTGTACGTTGTCCATACCATCTAAGCTGTTTGGTACTAATGTCATCTACTATTGTGTGTTTCACACATTCATTATTTCCCTAATTCTGTTGTTGGTTACCCTTTCTAATCTTGATTTTCCTGCTGAGCGCCTCCAGAAATCCATTTCTGTTGCGTCAAGTTTTCTTTTGTATCTTTCTTTTATTTGCCATACTTCACTGCTGTAAGTGATTATACTCTTAACAATTGTATTGTATATTCTATGTATGTTGTGTTGTTTGATTTCTGCCTGGTCCCAAACACTGTATGATATTGAGAAGGGTGTGTTTGAGTAGTAATTTTATGATAATTGTATTAATGTAATATTGTATCCCCTCCTCCCCAGTGACCTACCCCCTCAAGTCACAAAACCGTTGTAAATACCCGTTTTCGTATACTCGTTCACTATGAAGCGTAAAATCAAAACCCGTCTGTGCATCTCTAAGTCCTCGCACCACACACCTATATGTGTGTCTAGATATTTGCTCGCCCGTCTCTTTCATCGACTACTATCCTACACGCCCGTCCCCATATAATCTGCTTAGACGCCGACCCAACATCGGCCATCTAGAGCCCTCATCAAGACCGCCTCGCCTTCATTCCTAATTTACAAACCACACCATATAACCTACAACTTTCCCCCCCACTCCACAACACTGCGTCCCTACTATAAACCCCCAACAATCCCACCCCAAACCACATGTTTCTAGGTAGAGACTAGCACTCTATATCACGCCCAGCAGCGCTGTGTCTGCCTCTATCGCTGATATAATACAATCAGGTAGAATTTCGCCTGCGTCATGAATGACCATCCAATACCCGCTCCGCCGCTACATGGATCCGCACTGCCCCCATCAACGAATGTCCACATCACTACAAAAGCCTCTCCATCTAACTATCCATGTCCATATCCCCTGCGAGCGTCTCCGTTGTCGCCCCCTTACTGCTATATCACCCGGTCCGAAATCTATATATATCCCACACATCAAAGATCCTTCTAATGATGTGCATTATTAGAATGATACTTATATACGTAGATACATCCTGTGTCCAAAAGATTTGTTGTGTCCCACCCCCCTTTTATCTCAATGAGGTCCCCTGTACTGTAATCAGGCCACCACGAGTCCTTACTCGAGCAGCCTGACTCCTCTCTACGTCTGCCGCTCGCTCTGCTCGCAAACTCGGAACCTATACCAACGCCTCCGTACCTCACGCACCCCGCCCGCTATAACCACGCCACCCGCAAATCGCTCCGAAACCACACTCGCAAACTCTCCACCACTCAACAACCCTGCGGAATCCCCACAGAGTAAGTCCCCTATATAAGTCACAATACCCGAAGAAAACACTTGTCCTCGCCCATCTCACTCTACCTTACCCACCATACGCACGGCCACACACCCCTTTCACCCCCTCCAATTAGAAGATTTCACGTACCAACTACACACCCCTGCTTGTCACGACCATCACACCCCATCGCCACTCATGCCCTCCTGAAAAGTGTAAGAAACATATACTTAAGAAGTACACTGACCTTAACATACTACACCTCAATAAACAAACCACAATAACCTCAACAACGAGTTTGACCACATAGAGACGACCACTCTACACTTTCGTGTCTCTTATTCTCTTGTGACCTTGACGCTCTCAGCGTACACTTTGCTGACCATGAATGCTTCGTAGTAGAACTCATCACACCGTCCACAGAAATAGACTATCTTTCCTCTAGAAGTATCTGCACACTGCACATCGCGCTGCCTCGTATGACTTTCATGGCTCCATGCATATGACATAGTAGCATCCACAGACGTAGTGCCGTCTCCATCAATAATACTCTCATGACTAAGACCACCCTTAATACTTCGCCTGCGCCCCTTTCCTCACCTCCCACTCTCTCAAGGAAACTTCATCCACTCTGCCCAGAGATCCGCTCGCTACCCGCGCTAAGAGAGCCGGCCACATCTTCTCGTACTCTCGCCTCCCCTTCTCCCCCTACTAAGCAGTAATAAACAGATATTCACCCACATGAGACCCTCGATACTCTCCGCCCCTGCAGCCAGATGACAAAGCGCCCCCAACCCTCTGCCCCCGCGCTAAAGGTAACACTAGTCCATGACAGTACCCCTGATCCACATTCCCAGATCTGAGTATGAAGACACTACAACCAACCACCCGCCACCCACTCAGCCGCCGCGTCACCCCCCTGTCAGAACACCTCGCCTCGCGAATCCCCACCCCTCTGCATCACCCACGCGATCACCACCCCCCGCCACCAACCCCGGACCATCTCAACACTCGCACTGCCTTCTCACACAGTTCCCTATATCTTTATCACTGCACACGATTTCGATTTCGTCGTCTCTCGTCATCAGTCGTTCCAACACGTCCATATTCGGCGCTGTTCCAGAGTTCGTTCCCAGCTATGAACTCTGTAGTTTTCACCACTTCGCTCTAAACGCGTCACGACGCACAAGCTGTCTTATCGCTCATGGTGGATATCCATGCTATCTCGTCTTCCTTCGTCGTCTCTCACGGCGGCCTCTCTAGCACACGCTCACACAGTGGAATAGCTTCCACTCTGATCTCCAGACCGCCCCGCCTCTAGCCAGCGTTTTCATATCCCCCAATCTTTGTCTGTGCACATTGCTTTTTATTTCGCAAATGTGTTCTTTTCTTTATTAATCTCGCCTGGTATCGTTTACTGGTCCTGGTTGCTTTGTTTATTTTTTAAAGAGACTTACCATACTTCTTCGTACTTCTTTAGTTGTCTATTCCTCGTAAAGGTGAGGCTAAGATATTTTACGATTGCTGGACTCACTGTTATTTAAAAATTCCGCTCTGTCTTCATATAAGGAGTTTTTTTCTTAAACTATTCGTCCCATTGGGGTCCCGGTGTGATCGATGATATTATATCTCGATTATCTTTTCCTGTCGTAGCGAATTTTTAATACTTCCAACTTTCTGAACTTCTCCGTCCCTCCTAAATGTGTGTTTAATCATGTGACACTTTTGCTCCCAAGCCTCATTCTTCTTTTGGCATATCAATGTTTCGACACTTTAGCTTGGGTCCTCTTGTATTCTCACCTCTATCAGGCGTCGGTCACTTGTGTTCAGATAATTATTTATACATACTCTTTCTCTCCATTTTTTTTTTTTTTTTTTTTTTCTTATTTTCTTTTTAATCTCATGTTCTATTTCTTCGTCCCACCAATACGAAGTCTTTTCAGTGGTTTTTTGTTGTAATGTGTAACACAGCATATAAGTACACAGCGTTTTAAACTTTATTGTCCCTAAATGCTTTTAAAACATAATTATAGTATTTTAATCTTTAACTTGATTGTAAAATAACTAACGGATGATTTTGTTCCAGCGTTGCCAACACGGCGAAGAGAGCGTTCCTGATCTGGTTGTCGGTAGTGATGTTCGGCAACCCTGTGACTTTGCTCAGCGGTTTGGGCACAATAACTGTGATAATAGGCGTTTTGATGTACATAAAGGCACAGGAGTACGACAATCAAGACCGATTAGCTTCAAACGCAGTCCACAGAAAAGTTCGAGCCATTTAGCAAATATAAAGTGTGATTCGAGAATGTGTGTTAGTGGAAAGTATTAATTTATTTTTTTAATCAGATTTCTGGGAGTTAAAGTGCAGTATTTACCTTTTACATTCCATAATTAATAAAAAACATAATGTTCTAACACATAGTATTTATTTTGAAATTACAATGATTTCTACAGTTGTAACAGTCAAATACTTTGATTGTTCAGTTTTCTTTCTAGTATACTCAATCCATTGCGTCTTTGCACAAATGTCATCATTCAATTATAATATGAATCGAATCAAAAACGTTTCATAGTCAAAACGTCAACTTCCGTCGGTGTTAAACAATAGAAAACTACGAGCTAATATCTCTTTTTGAAGGTTCTTTTTTATAATTTATTGGATTTTGAAAACTTTATAGGTATACGATATCTAAAATTTCCGAAACGATAAAACAGTTGAACCAAAAAAAACGGTCGTATAAATTAAACTAGTATTTGATATACGGTGTCTTATATCGACCCCTTGCAAAGAATAACGTTGTAACCAGCATTTATGATATTCTTCAGATTATAATTAAAACAAGATACCAATTTCTTAGATTCTTTTTTTGATACTATATGTGACAATTTTATAAGTGTAAGAAGTTATGTAAATGTTGAACTCCTCTGTTTAGAATAAAGGTCTACTTTTTTTTATTAGAGAATGAGGGTTTTTGAACTGTGGTTACAGTTTTTGATATAAATATAAAGTATAATCGAATAATCTTAGTCACTGCCACTTACGATGTTCTCATGCGGAAAAGTTAATATGAATTTCAAATTATTGCCTCGTTGAAGGATAAGGAATAAAAAACAGTGGATAGTTTTTAAAATGCATATATTATTACAAACTAAATATAAACTTCGAATTAAAATTTAAAATGACCATAATGTTATTTCTATGGTCTAGTCCTTCCATATTGCTGTCTTGATTAATGAATTTTGCAATCAAACTGCCGGAGATTTTTAAAATAATGGTTATAAGTGACAGGAATGCACTGGCTTCGAACATAAACACTCTGCAGATCATCATATATTTTGCTTTTGTTATTCCTAGGATAAGAATGAATATGCTAGATGATAGATTCTTAGGAAAGACCTTAACTAGAAGTAGCTAACCATTTTTGTTTCCGGTAGATAGGTTTCAATAGCAAGTTAAATCTTAATTTTTTTATCGGATCTGAAATCATATAATGAATATTCACCGCGGCATGATTTTGTTTCACAGAAATATTTAGTGTGTTTTACCATGATCCAAGAAAATTTTTTCATTTTCTTCAATTATATATACCCATATTGGAAAAGGTTATCACTAAGTTTTTTTAAAATCAAATATATTGGGTCCTTTTTGCAGTTCAGTGTACCAAATACGGTTTACCTCGTTGTTTATGCACAATCTGTATTATAGCTCTATCCATTGTTCGAGGGAATAAAAAACAGTTAGGTTTCTTTTTTTTTGGTTTTCTAACTGCAAAAAGAAGACAATCGCAATATATATTCTGTTTCCAGTTTGTCCTCCGCAATTTACTAACTATAAAATAAAAAATTTTTATAATCTTTTTATAAACACTTAAGCTGCAATGAACAATTATAAAACACTGCTACTTATTTCGTTAGCTCACCTCTCTTCCCTCATGGTTTCAATCTCCACATGTAGCAAAAATCCTTCATTGGCGTTCCCATCGTCCAAATATTGGTGAAAATATAGACGCATACTTTTCGTTTATAGTAGTAAAACATTGACAGTTTCAGACAGAGGGTGATGGTGAGGAACTTTCTGCTAAAAAGTCGTAACTAAGCAACAATAGTGTGTTTTCCCATTAAATTTTTAACGATCTCTTTATCCCTTTCCCATAAGTTCGTGTCTGTTTTACAAAACAGTCTTATTAGCAATATGGTAAGTGTACTTCAGATCCATCTCTGCACTTTGTCTATCGCGTGCATTTCGAAAAACAAGACAGAAGAACGCACTGGTCTTTTTTTGGTTTAAAAAACTCGATGTTAAATTCACACATGGTTTAAATATCTCACGTGTATTGTCTTTAATGTATTGCACTAGTACGAGATATGATGTTCATGTCTGCATCCACTTCCGTATACAAATCACAAAAGTATAGGAAATATATAGTTTCTCTCTCAAAATATAATTTTTACTCTACATCTGGAATAGATGATATGTGGTTTTTATCGAACAGTCTGTTTGATTCTTCCTTCTGCTACTCGTTGTGTGCCCAGTGGTGTGTTTTCCATCTTCCATTCCCATCTTTTTAGACAAATTGTCAATCAACCCAACAAATCGGTTATAACAAACGTATCAAGAAACATTTTTTTACATACCACAAATATGGCTAATCATGTATTAGAGCAATTTATACTGAAAATGTCCACTTCCTTCGAGATACACTGGTAGTATTTAAAAATACGATGTTTTTCTGTGTCTAGTAAGCCCAAACAAGACTAATATATTAATGGGTCTGAAGGTTGTGATCCCCATTTTCTAATTTCCCCCTACTAATTCCTCACACAATAATGCCGTGCGAAATATTGAACACACAGACGTGTGTCAAGTAAATATATCTGCTTCACATGATGTATTTCTACCTGCAGTAATTAGTAATGATCAGTGTTATGGGTTCGGGTGTTTGTGGTATCCCGGGTGGAAAAATTTTTCTCGCGTACTGTGTGTTTTTTCTTTTCCGCTTTTTTTTAGTTTTTTTTCCAAATGATTTGTAGATGAGTGCAGTTATGAACATGCCCCCCCCCTTTTGAATGAGTTAGAGAAGTGATTGAATAGCGAGAAAAATAGATATTGATTAATTTTGGATAAAGGAGATTGAGTGAGTAGAAGAGAGAATGAGGAGATTGTATGTGAATTTTGAAAATGAGAACTACTGATGAGATAGGATAAAAGAGGAGTAGAGAAAGAATCTAATTGTTGAGAAGAGACATGTATTGAGAATAGTTGTATGGTGTTGTAGAACTCAGACTTACGACGTACTACGATGATGTACGTGATTTGAGATTCGTATCTCACACTACGCTCTGAACCTGCAGGACCCCTAATTATTTATTATACCACTTATTAATTCTACATTCGTGTAATGACTTCTCGCAAAAAAAAAATTATCACTACAATAAAATGTCCCCACGCCCCTCCCTGTTAACATACCGTCGCTTCGCCCTTCCTGCACCTGACCGAGGCACGAAAAGCGCCGGCAACCTCAGGGGTGCGGGCGGTCGTTCGATATTGTAAGTCTGACAAATGTTATCTTTACTCTTTTAGATTTCCGCTTCGGTCGTAATCCGACTGCACTCGGCCGCGGAGGGAGGGGGCGAAACAACCAGGAAATGTTTTTTTTCCCCTCCAGTGTTGCTTTTTTAAAATGAGATGCGCTATTCTATTCAAACACTGATCTGTAAGACTAGATCTGGTCGGTGGTTGATTTTTTATCTATCCGTCCTCTGTTTGACTGGGGTCTGAGATGGATGGAAATAAATAATTTTGTAGGACTTCGCCAAGCCAATAACTCCTTTTTTCTATCAATAAAAAATAAAGTTGAATTTTCATTGTCTTTTCACAATCTTCCATGGAGCTGTACGTATATTATTAATAGTTTGCGAAGAACTCTCAATTTCTTCGTATCCAAAAATTTATAAAAATAATTCATAGCCCCTATCAACCACTTTGTGCCTTGGGAATAATTGTTTTTATTAACTTAATATAAACCGGAATGAAGCCAAAGGAATGTATGGGCACCAAGGGAAAGGCTCAGAAGTTGGGAGGCGTTTTTTATTGTATATTACATATACAGTGGAATCTTTGTAAGTCGAACTTCGATAAATCAAAAACCTCCAACTCCAAAGAATGTTTTGTTACATTCGCTTCAAGCCACAAAACCTATATTAGTCGAAACTCTGTATTAGTTTCAAAATAAATAATCAGTGAGTCCATGTAAGCATTTCGGTACAAATTTTCTCTCTATAAGTCGAAAAATTAAATTGAACCCCTCTATCTAGAACATAGAAATGTTTTGCTTTACAAAATTTTACAACTCGATAATTTGAAAGTTATAACATACCTCTATAGTTTTGAAAGAAAAAATAAGTTATCGACTTTAAGAGCATTTTCCGACAATATAAATACAACATTGTCTCTTAGAAAACAATTTGGGAATATACAAGAAGTAGAATTACCACTTAAAGAATTTATAACTCACGTTAACACCTGCTTGCTTGCTTGGTGGCAGGTGTTTAATTCTATTATTTTTAATTTCATTTTAACTTGAATCAACTCATTTGTTGTCGATTGAAAAATTGTCAAAAGTGGTTTGATTCTACCGCAATTACCTAAATTTGTACAACAGTTTACAAGTAAAATTGTTAAAAAATGAGTGCTGTGAAACGTAAAGAAAACTTTGAGTCTCACTGAAAAGTTAGAAGTACTCGAAGCTGTGAAGAGCTGTAAAAAGAAGAAAGATGTTGTTGCTGAACAATCTGAGTACTCTGTCAACGATAATAAAAAATGAAATGAAAAAAATTTAAAACCGTCAAAATTTGTCCTGTAAAAGACAACGAATTGTAAAATTTCGGACTTAGATGGAGTGCTTACTTAAATGGTTTGAGCAGTGTCGGAACCAAAATATCAGTGTTAGTGGACCACTGTTACAAGAAAAAGCGGAAATACACTCTACTCTAATCATTGGGAATGGCCAATTTCACGACCAGTAATGGATGGTTAGAAAAGTTCAAAAGAAAACATGACCTTGATTAATGGAGATTTTGTAAACATGTTACGAACCTGATATCTTCAATGCTGATGAAACGGGGCTTTTTTAAAGGTCTTCCTGATAAGACTCTAACTTTTAAAAATGATAAATGCCATCGTGAGAAGCATAGCAAGGAACCTTTGAGCAAACATGTAAGGCACAGAAAAAACGTTCACCATTAATGATCGGTAAATCTAAAACACCTCGTGGTTTTTCAAGATGTCAATCACTACCTTTGAAATATGAAGTAAATACAAAAGAATGGATAACTTCTGCAATTTTCAAAAACTGGCTCATAATTATTGAAAATCATAAGAAAATGGCCAAAGAAAAAAGAAATCTTGTTATT